TTTTTGTTTTTAAAACAAGAGTCGGAAATGTGTCACAATTAAAGATAATTCTTTTTGGGGGGGGGGGGGAGAATTAAAGATAATTCTTAAAAATACACTTTTTTTTAACATTTTTTAAATACCCCAGGGGGCATCGGGGGGGGGGGGGGGGCTGGGGGGCGGGGGTAAACTGGGATCAATCTCACTCCATTGAGAATTCAACCCGGGACCTCTCATAAGGGAGAGTGAGTCGGCGACAAGTTGGGCTGAACCACTTTTCTAATGATAATTAAAAAAAGACACTTTTCTAGTGTTATTAAAATTTGCATGAAACTAATTAAGTGTGACTATTCACCCTCTTTCTAGTATTGAATATGCAATCCTCATCTTATAGTTGGATCGTTCATCATGCCAATTCTCTTTTACTTTAAACAATTAGTCAAATATTTAAAACTAGCTTTTGGGTTACATTGTATGAATTCATGTAGACTCGTTTCTATGAGTTAAAAATGAATTACAAGGCCAAACTTCAAATAATGATTAGTTCGTTACACAATTGTATTTCAAAGTGGTTCCCAAGTGGTCAAGTTACTCAAGTATAAGAGTCGGGTGTTTGATCGAGATTGATCTAGGGCTAAAACTTCGGAGCAAGCACATGCCAGGTCAAATTGCATGAGGGAAGCAACATAAACGTGGGAGAAACATATACGGAATAAATATTAAAAATAAGGACATATAGAGATTTTTTTTAACCCGGTAAGCAAACCACCCATCGGTAGGATAAATGTCGGGAACATTTACCGAATTTTATTAAAAAAAAAGATACAAAAGAAGAGGAGGACCAAACCAAAACCTCTTCATTATAAAAGACAGGACATACAATGTATTTATAAATATTATTTTATTATATATGCACATTAAATTTTCATATAACTTATTTGATAAATATGGAGTATATAACGTAAAGTGAATTTACATATTAAGACATATAAATACATGGAGTATATAAATAAATGTTCAAATTTACAAATTAAGACATATAAATACATAATTACACATAAAGTGAATTACATTTCTAACAATGCATTGTGTTAATTACAAACATCACAATGTTATTAGGAATAAATCCTAAAAAGGAAAAAATATATAAATTCACAGTTTCCGAAACACTAATTGCTTAGGGAAATAATCGAGTTTCTTAATTCTTTTAAATTATGAAAAATGCCCCAAAGAACATGAGTAGGAGGAAATTTCAGTACTTCATAGATCATCTAGGAGTCCTTTCAAAAAAAAAAAAAAGATCATCTAGGAGCAGGTTAATTAGAAGCGAGAACCTAAGTAAGCCTTTTCCAAACATCCCACACTATACCTCGTTCTTCATCCAACTGACTCAAAACGCTCCGATCTAGCGCTTTTAGTTTAACTAGTTTCTCCACCCATGCGTTGCACGAGAGTGAAGTTCCTAAATACAAAGGCCTTTTTTTTTATCAATATTACTAAAATAAACGGAAAAGACATTCATATGACCTGTTTTAAAATTTTCTACAAAAGTGACCAAGAGTCATTAATACCTTGTACGAAGTCTTTAATATTATTACATTTATTATTGTAATTTTCATTTTATAAATTTGACTTTTAGTCCATGTTTTGTAGGGCTGGGACTTTGGAACCAAGAACCGGAGAACCGAACCGGACCGAACCGTTATGACTCGGTTCGGTTCGGTTCCAACATTTATTAGTTATTTGTTAACGGTTCGGTTCCTATTTTTTATTAACGGTTCGGTTCTCGATTCCTGAAAAAAATATGTACCAAGAACCGTTAAGGAACCGTTATATATAATAATTAAAATTATATACATATTCTTAGGAGTATATATATTTTAATGCATATTTACTTACTTATTTTTATATTACATTCATTGTTTTAGTTTTGTTATTTAACTATTTAAAACTATTATTCACTTCAACCGGTTCTCTTAGGCTTCTTAGGCCTCTCATTAGGTCCAAACTCCAGCGGGACGGAACTCGGAAGGTCCAAACTATTTAAAATTATTATTCTCTTTAACTGGTTCAACATATTTGTATTGTAATTTCCAACGTTGAATGTCTTTTTTCCAAAAATTTAGTTGTAATTTGTAAAAAAAATTCAAAGACTAGGAACCGTTAAATGACAAGAACCGAACCGTTAAGAACGGTTCGGTTCCTTATCGGTTCTATCAAATAATTTATAAGAACCGAACCGTTAGTAAAATTTCATATTTTCAAACGGTTCCACATATTTTGCCTAGGAACTGAACCGGACCCAGGCCTAATGTTTTGTAGTCACTCCAACAACCTCAACACCACTGCCTCACACCCCACCACATCGGATGTCACCACCACCGGCACCTGCAACCTCGCCATCCACACCAGTCACTAACAGAGTGACTTCCCCGTCACTAACCAGTGACTTCCGTCTAGCTCCGGTCACTAGTCAGTGACCTCCGCCAACTCAGGTCACTAACCCAGTGAGACCGCCACAATCACTGTCAGTGACACCGCCACAATCACCGTCAGTGACACCGGTACAAAGACACCACCGCCAGTTACGCCGCCTCCAGTTACATGTATTATCGGGCCACATAGGAAAATAGTGACACTGCATTTTCTGCCCCGCCAGCCCCTACCCCTGTCCCACAGACTAACCCTAGCCCACCCCAACCGCAAGCTCTGCCTGCCGGCCCACCCCAGCTTCGAACTCCCAGATCCGATCCCAGCCTCACACCTCAGCCCCAGCTTCCAACCCAAGCCTCCAACCGCACCACCGCCTGTAAGCGTAGCCTCCGGCTCACCTGCGCCACCCCCCATCCGAGCTTTAACGGCCACCAAATTGCATATCTCTGTCATCCTTAAACACCGATCTTTTCACCGCCGTCACTCGCCGTCCAGAAATTCGGTCAACTCGTCAACGCTAATCTGCTCGAGTTGGACGATGGTGATTGAAGGACAACCTATACGGAGAGGCGGAGAAGAGATATGGATGGAGAGTCAGAGCCACGAACGGAACAGGGTGGTGCTTCCACCGATGACGAAGCCTAGATCCTCAGTTACAGTGATGGCGGCGGCGGGTAGGACAAGTAACGGCGAAGAAGAGTGAGAAGAAGAAGAAGAGTTACGATGGAGCGGCAGGGCGATGGGGCGGCGCCGACTGGAGTTTGTCACTATCGTCTCAATGAGTTACGATGCGAGAGGCTAAGTCAGTGGGGAATATAAGGGCCGAGCATTTAATTGTATGTTTTTGTCACTTTTTTGTCCATTTAAAATATTTTCATATTTTTGTCAACTACAAGTCTATTAGTAATATCTAGGCCTTAATTTCAAATACAAATTCAGAAGCAATTATATAAGAATTATAATAAACCGAATGGCAACCCAGTTTTAAAAAAAAAGTCAAATAAAATCCTAAATGGTGCGTCTTTGTAATAACACACTGAGAAATAAATTGAAAAAGTTAAATGTAGCCATCATAGGATCAAATAGGTGTGTATGTATGTCCACAAAAATGTCACGGGAAACTAAGAATTACTTTAACTTTCTTTATACGGAGTATATAACATCCCACACATGATTGGTTGATCGTTTGTCTTTGTCACATTATAAACTTCAACCCAAATAAACTTGTTACTCTCGAAACCGCCACATACAGCTGTTTATAAGTAAAAACAGGATGACATAGGAAAATGCCAACCTATTCTAATGATTGTTCATGAGTCTTGTTCATGGTCATTGCATAGCTACCCATTAATGGAAGATGTGCCATGAAAAGTGAACGGTAACCCAACGTCTCATGGTGTTAAAATAAGTCTAAGATTTAAAAAAGATTTTCACCCGACATTATCTTCATGCATCATTTGAGCCTCGAAAATATGAGTTCAAGTTTAGTCACTAGGAGTCGTGTGTCATTCCACAACACAGATAAATGATCTATATTCCTCATAAGCATCACCAACACTCCCACATTTAATGCTATTAAGAAGTTTAGCGGATGTATCTCATGTAAAAGGTCATTATCTCAACTTAGTGGTTAAAATCGGGCTTAGATAAGTGCTTAACTCCGAATCCATCTATCCTTACATTATAATTGTTGACCATATTAGCATCATTGTATGAGGTTGATATTAGCCGTCAATTTCGCTGGTACCATTGGTTTTCTTATTGTCTTTGTTATTTTTTAATCAATATACGTTATTAATTTTTATGATGTACTTTCTATACATAAGGATGAGATGTTTATCACATTGTGATCTTTTTATACTCAAAATTGTAGTTTAGTTAAAAAGTAGTTATATGAAATGATTATTCCAATTTATGACATTTTACTGAAATGCATTACTACCTACTTGTGGGACAATCTCAATTTTAGAAAACATAATTGGTAAGTCGTGACATAAATTGGTGCATAATGGTGAGATTGAAAATGATCTTTCACATTATATGTAAACTCTTACACATGCATTTGCATCGCATTCGTTGTCATTAGATTGAATGGCGTCAAACATTTTTGACAATTTGTTTTTTTCGAACACTTAGCAAAATATTTTTATAACTTTTATAGCTTAAACTTGGTAAGATTTTTTGATGTTTTTCACCAACGAAGTATTTTTGTAACGAAGTATGATTATTTTTTGGAAAATTGTCTTATACCTTTTGTTGTGACACCTTATATAATAGAAATCAGCACAAAAGCATTATTTAATTGCCTCATGCGTGGACGGCATGTTCCATATGCCTTTTCTTGGTCTAAATAACAAAAGAGTGATCTAGTAAAAATGAATCTAAAAGCTACGTCTTTTGGAAGTTTGTAAAATATTTAGTTCAATAAGATCAGTTTAAAGTTTCATAAAAGTTACTTAGACGGATTTTAGATAATTGCAGATTATGTATATATAGTGATTAATATTGGTGATGTTAATAAATGCCCACAAAAAGGTAAAATTGTAGTTATTAACATTTAGATGGGAAGCTTGAACTACTATGAAGTTAAAAGTTTTTTCCCTTCAAAAGTAACTTCAATACATAGCGTTAAAGGGAACGGGGGAATATTTTGCGAGTTGCTATTGATGAGAATATATTTTACGATGACAGAAACGACAAAGAACTTACGACACTATTATGACTTGATAAAACAGAACAGGGATAATGATATCGAACTACCCTTCAACTAAGGACACAAAAGATGAAAGTAACTACCTTTCAAATAACTACTCTTCATCATTACAGTATTACACCTCTTTGACTTCCCCTACCTTCTTCTTCTGCTCCACCTTCGGGATCTCGAAAGCCGAAACCGGAAAGGTCTTGCCTACGCCGAGAGAACTCTTGAAGTAGATTTTTCCGGTGGGCGGGTCATACACGGAGATCTGGCTGATGGTGTCCCACATCAGCAGCTCCTTGGCCTTGACCCCTTTGAGCTTCTTGATCTTGTTCTGCTCCACATTGGCTGTCACCTCGCACCCATACTGCACCAGCTTCCCGATCTCCTCGAACGTGTGCTCGGTCTTCTTTTTGGACTTGAGCCACACGAAGTCGATGTCCTTGACGTACCCGCACTCCTCCATGTCTTTCATGGGCAGCAGCCCTGCGGGCAGCCCCACCTCTCTCAGCAAAGTTCGTTTCCCGCGTAGAACTCTGTTGCACTGCGCCTTATCTCATCTGTCACAAGAGACATTTTGTGCTGATTTCCACCGCTTCAAAGGAGATTGTTGCTATTATCAATTAGAGTTGAAGAAAGATCACTATGAAGTTTAAGTTTGTGAAGCTATATTTTCTCTAAAGCTGACAGTATGCTCAATGAGGAATTTATTGTCTTGATATATAGAAAGTGAAAAACAAAAGAAAAAAAAAACTACACCAAGTAACCCTGTAATAAACTATTGAGTGACAACACAATGTGTCCAGATGCATGACAAACAAAATCATACTCCGTATTACTTAGCCTCTATGTCAGAGTAGAGGATCAATGGGTTTCTCACCCAGCTCAATGAGGAATATCTTGCCTTAATATAGAAAGTGAAAAACAAATGAGTCCAATACACTCCACCAAGTAAACCTTTAAACTACTGGGTGACACCGCAATGTGTACATATCCATGACAAACAAAATCATATTACCCAGCCGCTATGAAGATAAAGCCATAATACCAATATGAAATTCCAGCATAGTTGTTGTAAAAGAATGGATAACTATTTCTAATTTTGGCAAATTTGCTTAGAGCTTGTTTATAAAGCTATTTAAATAGGAACTGGTAAAAAATTAGCATAACAAACTTCTGAGAGAGTTATACTCAAATATAAATATCGAAATCGCCAGTAATCAAAGTAGCAGCACTATAGTGTCAAGTAATAACATTAAAACTCATAAAATCTATTTTTTGGCAAGCAAATGAGTCCAATACTATTTTAACATGTGGTGAGGGCTTTTTTAACCACAAAAATAATGAATCCTACAAGAATATATTGACAAACATGAAATCTAGGAATGCTACAGGTGCAAATCGGGGAAAAATGATGAAGCTTTACAGGAAAAGCCCAATGGAATAATCTTACCATATTTTAAAAGATATCTTATTAACAGAGGTCCACTATAAACTGCTTTATGAAAAATGGCCCTTTAATTCACTTTTTCTTCCCTTGCTAAAACCTTTTCCAAGTTCTCCAAAATCAAGATCTCTGCAATAAGTGATAGCGATATTTGGATTCCAAGCATAAAAAAATAATAGCAATATGAAATCCAAGCATAAAACGTTTTACAAAAAAATGGAGAACTATTTCTTATCATTGGAACTATGATTAGGGTACTACTGTTAATAAAATATTGAGGTGTGAGAAATATTCATGTTTTAATCATTTCTGTGTTAACATACAGCATAAACGGAGGATCTATAAACACAATACATATTAACTGAATATTAGGACTGTACTTGAACCAAATCAACAAATTATCAAAACCTTGAGATGGGAGAGAAAAGGGTAAAAAAATGACATTATTAAGAGATGGGAGGGTTGCTGCATTTTATCAATTTTAAATTTTTAGAATTAAACCACGTAAAAACATTTAGCTATGATATGTACTTTTAAATGAGGATTTCATAAAAAGGCTCACATTTCCTCTAAATAGGAATAGGGAAATGAGAAGTAAAACCATATCTGTTCAAGGAAGTTACCCAACTACTTGCATATCCCATGAGAACTCTAAGAGTTCTAGCCTAACTTAATTTATAGTTCTTTTTTAGCAGTCTACAAATCAACAAAAGATAGAAATATATCATCAATTAAAATAATTTATAAAAAACAATTTAAAAATTGAGTATTCTAAGAGAAAAACGACAAAACACATCAGTTTAAATACCATCAACTATGATTTACAAATTGGAAAACGGAAAAAGAGAGGCGATGCTAATACTATGACTGCTGCGAGGAGATGTACTCTTGAAAGCTGGCCGAATTGAAAGAGAGAGAAGAGACGACATGAAGACAAAAGAAATCCAAAGAAGCGTGCGGCTGAAAAGATTTGAAGGCAGCTTTACCGCTTGAAAGGTGTATTCTTTGTGTGCGTGTAAAATTACACTTAGGACGAAGAGCGGGCGAGTTTTCACACTCATACTCTGATACTCATATGTAATGCTTTTAGGTATATATATATATTGAAGGAATATACTCTTAATTCTTGTTTAAGTTTCGATTCTCTGAATCGCTGATCATTAAGAGAGCAATTTTAGTTGTAACAGAGTTGTAAAATGCTAAACTATCATGAGGTTGATTACTGTTTTTGTTTGAGATAATTACCCTAGGTATGACTAAAACTTCATGAGTTTCTCAATATATGACTTAACTAGTTTTTTTTACTAAAATAACATCAATATTTAATTAAATTCGTAATAATTAATTAATTAATTCATATAGGTGGACAAATATACCCTTTAAGTTATATCTATAAAATCCTAAGCTCCTACTCTTTTCTCCAACCCTAGCCTCCATTCTCCCACCTTAGATCCATCTGCCTGCTGTTGCACGCTCCCTACCACCACCGCCCCATTGCCCGCCGTCAGCCGCCGTCTAGGAGCATCTTGCCGGCCAAAATGCATCCAGGATCACAATTTCCTCGTGGATAAATTGAATTTGGATCCTAGGGAAAAGCTCCTTGTCCTTTGTCTCGGCGATTTACTCGTCCGTAGGGTGCACCTTAGAGATAAGCAAATTGTTCGTGAGTTCAAACCGCACGTCATTCATGGGAAATTTTTAGGTCGGGTTCAAATTAAAATACATAACCCATTCATAATGCTTTTTTATACCAAAATTGTAGCTTTTATTTTTCTGATTTGGAAATTTTTATTTTGGTTGAACTTGGAGCAGAGTTCAAGAGGCCATTTTGCACGGCCTACATCAGCACAATCGCCGACCAAAATGAATCCAGCCGCTTGCATCGTCGTCCAGGAGAATGCCGCCCCATGGCCCACCTTCGCCTTCTACCCGCACACTGCACTCCAACTTGCCGTTGCTGATCAACCTTCTTCCTCCGTTTTTAAATCTTAATCTTCTTTTTCTAATTTTGAAATTAGGGATTGTTGAAATTAGGTTTTATGGGCATTAAATATGGGCAGTGAATATGAGCACTGAGCATGATAATAGATTTTGCTGAGTATGGTGAGTGAATTTAAGGTTTGTGGGCATTGAAAATTGACAGTGAACATGCCAATAATTATGACAATGAATGTGACAATATATATGTTATACATCATCATTGCAGTGAATGAATGCATTAAGAAAGTTTGTTGTGCAGTAAATATGACCAATAGTGCAATAATGTTGCTATGAAACGCAATAATACAATTACTAAATCTAAAAAAATAAAAAAAATAAAAATTATGAATAACTTCGTAAAGTGAATACGAAAATTATTTTTTTGGGAGTGCAGTGATTATTATCAAATATGCATTAATGTCGTGCATTAACGATAATATAAAGTGCAGTAATTTTAACTTGACGAGATTAGTGAAAAATCCACATATTTTAAATAAGGGCATTTTCGTCATTCAACCCTTAAATATAAATGAAATTTTTTATTTTTTTTTGGATTTTCGGTCATAGAAAAGTCGAAAAAGTAGTTAAGTCATAGATTGGAAAACTCATTGAGTTTTAGTCATATCCTGGAAAATTTCCCTTTTTGTTTTAAATTATTTTCTCTTAATTGCTGATCATTAAGAAAAGAGGTTTTAGCAATAATGGGATAATAAAGTGCTAAACTATTACTGGACTCCTACTTTTGTTTTAAATCTACAAACAAACGCCACAAGAAGTGCAAAACAGAGAACAAAAAAACCTACTTTGTTTTACAGTTCTTTATTCATCTTTCCATGCCCTAACTTTTTTACTTCAGCAACATTGCTATTCAATGCAAAAAATGAAAAAGAAAGACAGTGACTTGACTGACTTCTATGTAAATACACTGTCATATTTTTAGAATTTTAGGTATAAAAACTCTAAGCATTTTAAAATAGAAGTCCATTTGATGAGCATTTCATAAATAACTCTGTATTAAGGATGCCCAACAACCAATACGATTTGAGATTATAACATGATGTAGGAAACAACTTACATAAAAAGTCACAATTTTTTATTTGGACATCATACCTGAAGTCATGGCGTCATGCCAAAGGGAAAGCGAACCAGGCATCCTATAGTCAATTTCTTTTTCCATTTTATTATCTCTTAAGATAGAAATTTTTCTCATCAAGAGAACAATTTGTTTGTCCACATCTCTCAAGCCACATGTGTAAGAACAGGTATGCTGATGGCCATTTCCTCCCAGGCTCCAACATATTCTTTTCTTTAAGAAATTTATCTGAGACATACAGTGAAGCCTCTGGACAGCAGCATTCAATGGAAAAGCCTATCTGTGACAGAATCTGCAATTAATAGTTTCCATTTGGGAAAAAATGTGTTAATTTAAAAAAAAAGTAACAACATATTTGTTTTGAAATTTTAAGAGGCATCCTTTTCAGTAAAAAAAGAGGCATCCTTTTATCCTCTCCCAAAAGTCATCACAAATAGACTCTTAATAATTGACCTCGTGAAGATGATTAAATCTGTTGAATGCAGAATGTACACATATATTTTATTGCATAAATATTACCCCTTTCCGGCATTCAATTATGCTCTTATCCAAACTCTTGCTGATCAAGATTTAAACATTCTCTTGACCTTTTCTCCTCCTTGGATCCATTGGCATGTAATCAGCCAATCATGTAGTGATTCTGTTTGCATGCATTATATTTAACTAATCATCAGGTTATTATTATACTTTGTGAAACAAAAATAAAAATTAAAAGTATAAAAAATGGAGAAAAGACTAAAGCTTCAATCAACAGCATTTCACCTCAACGGCTCAAACTCTTCTATCAGTGAGCTCTTTTAATCTTCTCTAGTATGTCATGGTTGCACTGGATTAAAAGAGTCTACAAAACAAAAAAATGGTTTGATTAAAAAAATAGTATTTCTTGACCCAAAAAATACTGAAAAAATGGTAAAATAACACTGAAATTCACGTTTAAAGAAAATAAAAAATCAAAATCAATCACTAAACTTACCGTGTTCATGTGAAATTGATTCTTTCTCCTTTGATTCACGAAGTTGGGTGACTCCCTCCGAATAGATTTAGGTGTTGTCCTGGAGTTTGAAGAAGGGGTGGCAACGAAGAAGAGATGCTTAAGTGGCCTTACCAACCTCAGAGAAGGTGATGGAATCGTCGCTACCACCTTGCAGCCTTCTTCTCCTTGAACCATTGCAGCGACAGATCGGGGGTACAAGCGATGAAGGGAAATACACAAAGAATGAAGGAAAGAGATAGGTGATTAGGTGATACGGAGTATATCGGATAAGGGATTTTAATTTTTAAGTGAATGGCTTAGATCATTTCTGAATGAACGGTGAAGATGGATTTGTATCGCTATTAAGTATAAGGATTATGGTGCACATGTTTATTAATGGGGTTTGGTCATGAATATTACTAACTAAAAAGATTTGAACAAATATAGGACTTCCTTTATTAGTTTTGAGAAAGGAGACCATGCCCATGGTAACAAGGACTAATGAAAGAGGAATGTTTTGACTTCTATAACTCTCCTCCGTTACATAGGCCTGGGACCGGTTCGGTTCCTAGGCAAAATATGTGGAACCGTTTGAAAATATGAAATTTTACTAACGGTTCGGTTCTTATAAATTATTTTATAGAACCGTTAAGGAACCGAACCATTCTTAACGGTTCGGTTCTTGTTATTTAACGGTTCCTATTCTTTAAAAAAAATTCTTACAGATCACGATTAAATTTGTGCCAAAAAGACATTCAACGTTTGAAATTACAATACAAATATGTTGAACTTCATTTCAAACATCAATAATTGAGTTTAACACATAAATACATACCAAACTGCAAATTTTAGTAAATAAAATAAAACAAGATATTCGCTAAAGAAGCCCAAGAGAACCGATTAAAATGAAAAATAATTTTAAATAGTTAAATAACTAAACTAAAATAGTGAATGTAATTATAGATAAGTAATATACATTAAAATATATATACTAAGAGGGCTGTTCCTGTACATCCATATGTACAGGAAGCTCCGTACGGACAAAGCCATCTGAGGCCCTTCCCGTTCGAATTTTTTGATGAATTTTTTTGAGCATATTCTTCATCAAGTCTAGTTTATCCATACCAAATTTCAGCTCAAAATTCGATCGGGAAGGCAGTCAAATAAATTCTTGAAATATACTGCACATTATATGTGCGCAGAATGCGCCATATATTTCAAGAATTTATTTGACTGCCTTCCCGATCGAATTTTGAGCTGAAATTTGGTATGGATAAACTAGACTTGATGCAGAACATGCTCAAAAAATTTCAACAAAAAATTCCACCCGGAAGGGCCTCTAGTGGCTTTGTCCGTACGGAGCCTCCCGTACATCCATATGTACATGATCATTCCTCTATATACTAATAAGAAATATATAAAATTTTAATTATTATATATAACGGTTCTTTAACGGTTCCATGTACATATTTTTTTCAGGAACCGAGAACCGAACCGTTAATAAAAATAGGAACCGAACCGTTAACAAATAACTATTAAATTTTGGAACCGAACCGAATCGGGTCATAACGGTTCGGTCCGGTTCGGTTCTCCGGTTCTTGGTTCCAAAGTCCCAGCCCTACCGTTACATTTACCTGATTTCCATTTACAATTAATTGACCCGATTCGTTACAATTGCCTGTCCAATCAGATATAGTTACCCGAATCAATCAGTTACCCGATTTGACCAGTTACAATTATCCAACCCGATCAATTGCAATTATTTGATCCGGCCAGTCCCAATTACTCATCCGATCAATTACAGATATATGATCCGACCAGTTACAGTTACTTATCCGATCAATTACATTTACCCGATTCGACCGGTTATAGTTACCTGATCTGATCAGTTACAGTTACCCGACCCGATTAATTACAATTACCTGTTCCGCCCAATTACAATTACCCGGTCCGACCAATTACAGTTATCTGGTCTCATAGTGATTACTGCCATCCACTGATCGCCTCCGTGACCATCGCCAACCACTTCCTTCATGACATGCCGCCCTCCACCACCGACTGCCGCTGCCGACCAAGATCCTTAATCACCACTGCTCGTGACCAACGTCCCAGCTCCCCAACCCCCTCTCTAGCCCCTCCTCAGCTGGTGACTACCCTCATCCATCAACCTGCCACCCATCCACTGCCCCCAACAGCCATGCTCGACGAAGATCCACCCGTTAGTACCGCACCTGCACCACCCCACCCACCCACACCAGTCCCACCTTTAATCGCCTAATCCTAGAAGCGCAACCGTCAATCACCTGCGAAATTGAAACCCTAGCCGCCCTATAGCCATCCCCGCCATCCTCGAACCCTAACACAGAGCATCGTCGCATGTATTTCCGCCATCAAATGTATCTCAAGCAGCCGCCATCGTCAATTTTGAAAAATCATAGATGGAGGCGAAGATGTGTTGAGCTGTTAGAAAATAGAAGAGGTTGTTGGTATATGAATATGTTAAATAATTTTAGTGAGGTGTAGTGTAGAGGAGGTGTTTTAGAGTAGAGCTCTTGTCTCTAGAAAAGATATATTGTATTGATGTTTCTTAGTTTGCTTGGTTTGCAAATGAGTACAATGAGTCCTATTTATAGGAGCTAGAGGATCATTCTAGATCCTTATTAAATGCTATGATTCTAGAGTATTCTACAACTATGTCTAATTAATCTAGATTTTACATAAGAATTCTCTAGTGGAGAATTCTCTAGAATACTTGTAGCTATAGTTCTCTAGAACATCTCTAGCCTTTTCTACATAGAATATTCTAGATAAATGCATCACTATTTAATACTCCTCCTTGATGCATTTGTCGGTGACTCCAAGCATTCTTCGCAGAAACTGGAACCTGTCTCTTGGCAGAGCCTTCGTGAAAATATCTACCAATTGTTCTTCTGTTGGGCAGTACTTCATCTCAATTTGTCCCTTTGCTTGAACATCTCTCAAGAAGTGATACTTAATATCGATGTGCTTAGTGCGATTGTGTTGAACTGGATTTTTAGCCATCGCAATAGTTGACTTGTTGTCGCAAAAGATCTCTGCCGCAGAGGTTTGCGATTCTCCCATATCTTCTAATATTCTTTTAAGACATATAGCTTGGCACGCTGCTCCGGCTGCTGCAACATACTCGGCTTCGGCTGAAGACAGTGCAACAGAATCTTGCTTCTTTGATCCCCATGAGAAAATTCCCGAACCAAGCTTAAATGCGTAACCAGAGGTGCTTTTCATGTCATCTTGTGATCCAGCCCAATCACTGTCGCTATATCCAGTTAGTCGTGAGTCAGGACTTGTTTTGTACCAAATACCATAATTGATGGTTCCTTTTAGGTACCTAAGGAGTCTCTTTGCCGCTCCATAATGAGTCTCAGTTGGACTTTCCATGAACCTCGAGAGCAAGCTTGTAGCATACATTATGTCCGACCTTATAGCCGTTAAGTAGAGTAGACTCCCAATCAAACTCCGGTAATTGGTAGCATCCGTTGGCTTTGACCCATCTTCTTTCTTTAATTTCTCATTAGGAACCAACAGAGTAACGACGGCTTTGCAGTCTTGCATTTTTAACTTCTTTAGCATGTCCTTAATATATTTTTCTTGAGATAAGAAGATGCCTTCTTCTTCTTGACTTATCTCCATGCCAAGGAAGTAATGCATTAATCCCAAGTCACTCATCTCAAAGGTGTTCATCATGTCTCTCTTAAATTCTTCAATTAATTTTGAATTATTTCCCGTGACAATTAAGTCATCAACATATAGAGAGATGATGAGAATGTCAGATTTACCTTGGGATTTGATGTATAGTGTAGCCTCGTTCTTGCTCCTCCTGAACCCTTGACGGGTGAAGTATCCATCAATCTTGCTATACCAGGCTCGTGGAGCTTGTTTGAGCCCGTAAAGTGCTTTCTTTAGACGAAGAATTTTTCCTTCTTCTTTGATGAATCCTTCTGGTTGCTCCACATACACTTCTTCTCTTAGTTCTCCATTTAGAAAGGCTGATTTAACGTCTAGCTGATAAATTTTCCATTTCTTTTGAGCTGCAAGAGCTATGAGTGTTCTTATTGTGTCCATTCGGGCAACTGGTGCAAACGTCTTTGTGTAGTCAACTCCCGGTATTTGAGCATACCCCTTTGCAACCAGCCTTGCCTTATGCTTCTGAATTGAGCCATCGGGGTTCAGTTTCGTTTTGTACACCCATTTGACTCCAATAACCTCCTTGTTATGTGGAAGATCTACCATTTCCCAAGTATCATTCTTTACTATCATTTTTATCTCCTCCTCCATTGCTTTAATCCAAACTTTTTCTTTGGAGGCTTCAGTGTAACTATGTGGCTCCAAAGAACAAAAGTTGCATGTTTCATAGACGTCAGTAGACTCATATAGGTCTGCTAGAGTTCTTACCCGAAGAGGTGGGGATTCTGGCGAGGAGTCATGTTCGCTAGATTTATTCGCTTCGGAAGAGGATCTTGGAGTAGATGTGGGGCTCTGTTGATCGTGATCTTCTTCTTCTGGGATTTCCTCTAGTTGGGTAGTAGTTGTCTTTCTTTCAACTCTTTCGGTCTCCCAATTCCAAGAGGCTTGCTCATCAAACTCCACATCTCGACTCGTCACCAGTTTCTTAGTCTCGAGATTATAGATTCGATATCCCTTGGATTTGGAGCTGTAACCGAGGAAGATTCCCTTCTCTGTCTTGTCTTCTAATTTGTGCCTTTTAATAGAGGGAACATGAATGTAGCATATGCTTCCGAAGACCTTCAAATGTTTGGCTGAAGGCTTTTGTCCTGACCATGCCTCAATAGGTGTTTTGTTTAAAACCGCCTTAGTTGGACACCGGTTTAGAAGATAGACTGAAGTATATACCGCCTCTGCCCAGAACATTTTAGGCATTCCTTTTTCAGCTAACATTGATCTTGCCATCTCCATGACTGTGCGGTTCTTCCTTTCGGATACCCCATTTTGTTGTGGAGTGTATGCTACTGTTAGTTGATGCTCCATGCCTTCATCTTCACAGAACTGGTCAAATTCTTTTGAGTTGTATTCGGTACCTCGATCGCTTCTCAACTTCTTGATTTGTTGACCACTCTGTTTCTCCACGAAGTTCTTGAATCTCTTGAATATTCTAAAAACTTCGGATTTTTCTTGGAAGAAATACACCCATGTCATCCTTGAGTAATCATCGATGAAGAGTATGAAGTACCTGTTCTTGGAAACTAAAGGTGTGCGCATTGGACCGCAGACATCGGTGTGGACAAGCTCTAGTATCTGTTTGGCTCTCCATGTCTTCTCTGTTGGAAATGGTTGCCTGTGCTGCTTCCCAACCATACATCCTTCACATACTCCTTCTTTTTCATCCAGTAGAGGCATGTCTCTCATCATATTCTTTTGATGTAGTAATCTCAAGGCATTGAGATTGAAGTGCCCAAATCTTCGATGCCACAGACTTGTATCACTCAGTTGAGCTACCATTGCCTTTTGTGGGTATTGCCATTGAATGGGAAAGTTTCTATTATTTCCCATTTTCACTTCAGCAATTTCTTGGTTATTTTTCTTGTCATAAATCCGACAAGAATTTTTCTCAAAATGTAGGGCATATCCACTTTCCATCATTTGGCCAACACTTAGTAGATTTTGTGCAAGGCGTGGCACTAGGAGAACGTTTCTAATATAGCGCGTACCTTTCTTTGTATCTATGACAATGGTACCTTTCCCTTTTGCCTCCACCAATTCGCCATTGCCCATCTTGACCTTTGTCTTGATAGAAGTATCCAACTCATGGAAGATGGTCTCGTTGGATGTCATGTGGTTGCTGCACCCGCTATCGATGTACCACTCTTCTTCTTTCGCTTCGATTGCCGAGTGACATGCATAGAACATGTACTCCTTCTCCTTGAAATCTTCGGAATAGTTGGCCTGATGATTTCTTCTATCCTTGCAATCTTTTTCTTCATGCCCGAACCTCTTGCAATTTTTGCATTGTGGCTTTTCTCGATGGTAGCAATCTTTCTCTAAGTGGTTAGTCTTCTTGCATATTTTGCATGGTGGAAAGTTTGTCTTCCTCTCCTTGTTGCTAGAATTCCCATATTTATGAGATTTAAAGTTTCCACCATTTCTTGAGTCATTCCTTTTAATGTTGAGCTTAGATTGGAAGGCACTTTCTAATGAACTTTCATATCGCCTGTTAAGCCTGTGCTCACGTGCTTCTAGTGACCCCATTAATTCAGTGATGGACATTTTTGATAGATCTTTTGACTCCTCAATAGCCGACACTACAGGGTCATATTTTTCAGGGAGACTGATTAAGACCTTTTTGATTATTTTCTCGTCGGTTATGTTTTCTCCAAGAGTTCTCATTTCGTTGACTATATGTATAACCCGAGAGAAATAATCTTTTGCCATTTCAGAATCTCTCATCTTCAAATTTTCGAACTCTCTTCTTAAACTTTGTAATTTAATAGTTCTAACTTTCTCATTTCCTTGAAATTCCTCCTTAAGAATATCCCAAGCTTCTTTTGTCGTAGCAGCACGAATTATTCTCGGGAAAATGGTATCACTAATGGATTGTTGAAGAAGATAGAGAGCTCTAGCATTTTGCTGCTTTTGTTTCTTACATACCTCGGAAGTTGATGCGTCGTCGCTTCCTTTTTCCGGAGTGATGATTCCTTCTTCAACAATATCCCAAAGATCATGTGAGTCTAGGCAAGTCTTCATACGGACACTCCAATAGTCGTAGCTTTCTCCGTTGAACATCGGAGTCGATACCGAGAAGCTTGATGTCGCCATAACGCCCGCTTGTGATCGAACCTGGCTCTGATACCACTTGTTAGAAAATAGAAGAGGTTGTTGGTATATGAATATGTTAAATAATTTTAGTGAGGTGTAGTGTAGAGGAGGTGTTTTAGAGTAGAGCTCTTGTCTCTAGAAAAGATATATTGTATTGATGTTTCTTAGTTTGCTTGGTTTGCAAATGAGTACAATGAGTCCTATTTATAGGAGCTAGAGGATCATTCTAGATCCTTATTAAATGCTATGATTCTAGAGTATTCTACAACAATGTCTAATTAATCTAGATTTTACACAAGAATTCTCT